AAACCTTTTTACAACACTGGCATAGACTATGCTGGTCCTTTTCATATTAAGGTTTCCAATCTACGTAATTGCACAATCATGAAATCATATTTGTGTATTTTTGTGTGTATGGCATCAAAGGCAGTACATTTAGAGGTAGTTTCAGATTTGTCCATAGATGCATTTTTGAATTGTTTAAAAAGATTCTTTTTTCGTCGGGGTAAAGTTAACCTTTGAGGATCTTTATACTATAGTTACTCAAGTGGAAGCCTGCATGAATTCCCGATCCATTTCTTGTTTATCCGATGATCCCACTGATCTCAACCCCTTAACTCCTGGCCATTTTCTCATTAGTGGCCCACTTGTTGCTCTACCTCAAGAGGATCTTCGAGATACTTCTGCAAATCGATTAAGCAGGTATCAAATGTTAACCCAGATAATTCAGCATTATTGGAGCAGATGGTCTGCTGAATATTTGCCTAGCCTAAATCCAAAATCCAAATGGTGGAAGGACAAGTCCCATCTATTGAAAGAAGGCACCATGGTCCTACTCAAAGATGACAACCTTCCTCCGATGAAATGGTTCTTGGGAAAAATAATGCATCTCTATCCTGGCAACGACAATTTGGTGCGCGTAGTGACAATTCGAACTTCATCGGGTCTCACAAGGCGTTCTAACAATAAGCTAGCGCTGTTGCCAATGGATCAATCATGATGAAATTTCGAAAGTTAGTACTTTCAAGGGAGGCGGCATGTTCAGAATTGGTTTATGGAACTGTCTTCGAACGCATCTTACTGTGTTATCGAACGCACCTATTGAAACGTTTCCAACTACGTTTTCGAACGCGACATCATTGGACAATTGACAAAAAAAAAACAGTTTTTATTATCACGGTTCTTGAGGATGGTTTTGTCTTGGCAACAAACAATTATTATTTTTTTAATTGTAATTGTCAAGCATTTTATTTTTTTGAATATATTTTATATCGTTTCACATTCATTCATGCTCGTAATTGAATCATGCTATCATCTTTGAACAAATTGAAGTTGAAGTTAATACCACCAAGTCAGTCAATTCAGCATTAGGATTCGTCCCTACGAAAATTCTTAGAATTTTCGAGGACTTCCTCCACAGGGTCTGTTCCATATAATTAGTACGGCTTCTACAGCTTAAGCAAAAAAAAATTAAAAGGAAGGTAAATACAAAAGTTGTAGGGTTTCGTCTGTATTATCTTTTGCAAATGTCAAAACGGGCAAATGACAGGTGCCAACTATCATGATAACAAACACTTGCATTTTTCTGTCACATCATAAGTAAATTGAATACCTATGTAATTACCTGAAAAATTCGAAGGTGACTAATAGTATATTATATTATGAGGATTAAAAGTGCATCATTTTTGCATGAGCGAGGAAAAAGATGAGTTTTTAGTCTGCATGATATATACTATTTTTTTCCCAACCAAGACAAATTCAGATACATATAAGCCAATTTACTTTTAATCTGCCGGATTCAAACTAGGAAGCCACGAGCACATTTTTGACCTGTACGAGACTTGTTAGCTTTTGCACCGGGAAATAGTCTAAAAGAGTCAACTTTTTTTGACGGTTGGGGAAAAAAATGCTGTCAGATCAATTCTTCCTGTTGTAATTTAGAAATTTCGAAATTTTCATAATGCTTTTAAAGGTTAACAGCAAATTTTTATAAACGATTATGTTATGAATCAAAAAAGGTACCTATACCTAAAAATTTGTACGAAATATTGCAATTTGAAAAAAAATAATAATAATAATATAAGAAAGTTGAATTTCCACATTTTCTTTTCCATATTAAAACTACAACAATGCGCGAAAAGGATTTTTTTCAATTATTTTTCTAGGGTTTATCAAAGGATACCCTCCTACGCTAGCGTGCAGGCTCTGTTCCATTTAATTAGCTACAGCTTAAACAAAAAAATAAATAAAAAAAAGGTAAATACAAGTTGTAGGGTTTCATCTCTATTATCTTTTGCAAATGTCAAAACGGGCAAATGACAGGTGCCAACTGTCATGATAACAAACACTTGCATTTGTTTAAATAGAACATCCTTTATATTTTTGCCTAGAATGATAGATTTTTATCTTCTGATTCCAAATATACCATGTATGTTGATAATTGGTTTAGCTGTTTTTGCGCTTTTTAATTTTAAAATTGCATTGAGCAAGCCTCATCTATGCTAATAAAAGAACGGTAGTTAGTCATCAACTATAAACGCACAGGTCAAACTACTTGACTTACAGTTATGAAACTTGGAGGACGTGTTGTGTTTATGACGTAGGCTCTCGCTAAGAAAGGATTTTTGAAAATTTCAACCCTAAGGGGGTTAAAATAGGGGTTGAAATATTAAAAAGGATTTCTGTATCTCGGAAATGAGAAGCCGCAAAGATCTGGGGTCGTATTTTCGAATATTTGCACATACGAAATTCAATACGATTTTGAATGCACCCCATTTAATTTACATTGCTGTCAGTCAAATTTCGTGTACGAAATGTACTGGAATAAATACGAAAACACGACCCCTGAAAATTGGCTTATAGATTTTTCCAACAAAATAAGTCAAAACGTATTTCAGGGTTTTTTGAAATTTTAACAGGGGGCGGAGAAATAGGGGGTGAAGGGATTTTCTTTATCTCGGAAACGAAAAGTCACAGATTTTCCAAAATTGACATGTAGACTCTACTAATGAAATAATAGGACCCGTGTTTCGGCGTTTTTCTATTACCTCCCCTATTACCTCCCTATGTCCCCCATCATCATAAAAAAATTGAGCTCCAAAAATATGGGTTGTGGGGTATCAAATTGAAGGAAATAAAGCACGTAATCTAAAAAAGTGTTTCGTATTTGTTTTTCGATTATCTCCCTTACCACCCCCCTATGTCCCCCCATCATCATGTAAAAATTTTTCCTCCGAAAATATAGGTTGTGTGGTATCAAACTGAAGGAAATAAAGCACGGAATCTAAAAAAGTGTTTGGTATTATTTTTATAATTTTTTTATTACCCCCCCCCCCCCCCCCCCCTATATATCGGATGAAAAATAAAATAGAAAAAAATTAGAAATCAACATTTTTTTTTTTTTAAGTGTATTATTTCAAAGTGTATGTTCACGCTAGCAACGCAGCGGGTTATTAGCTAGTCATTGATATAAGAAACCGGGAACAGATCTACTCCAGGGTCATGTAAATGAATTTTTGAACTTAATAGCGTAAAAACAGCTGAACCAAATATCGACATATGGTATATCTGGAATCAGAAGAAAAATCTATCATTCTAGCCAAAAATATACAGGGTGTTCCATTGAAAAAAAACACAAGTGTTTGTCATTAGGGTAGTTGGCACCTGTCATTTGCAGGTCTGACATTTGCAAAAGATAATAGAGATAAAACCCTACAAGTTTTGTATTTATTTTATTTTTTGTTTAAGCTGTAGAAGCCGCTAGTGTTTTAACAGCTCGGAAAAAACCGATTTTTTCCGAAAAAAACGGTTCTTTTCCTGTTTTTTTCCGAGAGTGTTGAAAAAAACCAAAATATGGATAGAATCAAATTTAATTTTTTCTTAAATATTTCACACAAAAAGGTGAAAACAGAACAAAAACGAAATCATAAGCATAGCATAAGCTGCATAAGTGACAGTAACAATAGATATCAGATTCTGAAGACTCATCAGAATATTCAAAACTTTCTACTTCAGAATCAGAAGAATCTTCATTAGGATTTGGAGCCTTGTTTGTCAAAGCCAATAATAGTGAAAAGAACATTACTGTTTTGTTTCTGTTGTACACAACATTAAGTAGTCATATTGTAACCCAACAATAGTAAATATATTGAAATTAAAAAAAATGAATTTTTCCAAATTTATCGGTTTTTTTCGGAATTTGAGAAAAACCGTTTTTTTTTTTAAACACTAGAAGCCGCACTAATTATAAGGAACAGACCCTGTACGTAGGTACATATGTAGAAATCATCCCATTAATTGTTGGTATTAAGATTTACAACAAACTGCAGGGTGATTTTTTTTTTTACTTTTTTATCGACATTTACTTTTTTATTTGACGTTCAATTTTTTTCTGATTTCATATTCAAATAGCCCAATAGTCAAATGATGAAGCTATAAAAGAAACATTTTAATTGTAATCTCGATTCTCGAGACTCGAGACTTCACGAGATGAGACCAAAAACCAGTCTCGTCTTTAAAGTCAAGACGAGACGAAACCAGTCTCGAGCCGCTTTACATATGATTATATCTAGAACCGCTATGTCATTGAGAATTTAGAATATTTTATTCTTTGGATAATAAAAAACAACCAAAATAAGAAATTCCTTATTTTTCTCCACGTATCTCTTATTAAATAATGTATACAGTTTTTATTATTGAAATAGTCCAAGGAACGCAATATTTAATGAGAAATGGTAAAACAATTTCAAATTCTTCATTGAAATCATTCTTAAAAAATTGAATATAGGTATTTGATTAGCACATGAAACTTATCTGTAGCAGCAATATCCTGTATTTTGACAGTTGGTGAGGTTTCCTACCCTAATATATGGTTCTGAATACTTTTTCCAACCAATTAGGGAGATAATTTTAACGAAGCCAATTAAACTCTGTGAATCTTTTATGCATGACCATAGTCTTCCCAGTTGACGAATGCGAAATAAATAATTACTTTCGAATATGCCCAAAAGGTAGGATCAGATATTTTGCGTCAGGTGTCGAATCAGGAATTAACGCATCAGGACCAAATCGTTACAACGATCGCACTTTTGCGCGGTTTTAGATGTAACGCCATTTTAGGTTTCACGCGGCAAAAGGTATGAGCATTCCAGTCGCGCTTTTGAACCACGCGGTTGTTAATGATCCGCGATTTTGGTGTTGCGCGGTTTTGAGAACGCGGTAACGGTTTGCGCGATTCCTCTTTTCGCGGTAGAGTCCGTAATAGTAAACCCTAAATATTAGATCATCATGAGATAAGATATACTTACATCACGTTTTTGTAGTGCTACATTCCGGTTGATCTTACTGCATTGGACTCGCAGTGATATATTATGGTAGGCATTTTCTCTTCCCAGTTTTGCTGCATTATTTGAGACTTGCTATTGAAAATCATTAAGGAAATTTTTTTTATAAATAAATTAGGTATCCAAAACGCCATTTACTAATAACAATAATACTTAATTATTTTTGTCCCCAAAAACCTGTGCATTGATTATTGTATTAGTGTAAAGTTCATTTAGATAATAGGGTGTAATTGAGAAACTCAAAAATATCATTAATAATAAAGCCATTTAGATTTGTTCTATATACAGCACAGATAAGAACGTTGTTTATGGATATTACCACCTATTTATAAATAAAGATGTTCCTAAGAATAACTACTGAAACATTATAAATATCTTTTTTTCACTACAAAAAATATTTAGAGCAATTAAGTTAGGCGAGAAACAAAAATACCCCTAAGAAATTACTTACTATAGCCCCTACAACGAATATGACGTTTTTAATTTCAAACTGATCAAAGTTAGACTATAAAAAAGGATTTTTGAACAAAATTATTTGGCGCAAATGTTCTAATTTATTTTTATTTTAGTTGTGAAGGTACTTTTCTAAATATTCACCTATTTATTCACTAAAGCTCCTTCACATAATATTATTATATTTTTATATGATAAATAAAACTCTGAATAACATTTTTTGTGAAGATACATGGTACAAACGTCTGAATTTTAAATAAATTTATATAGGTAGGTATGTATTTTAAACATTTTTTGAAGGTGGTTTTCCACCTAATGTGATATTTTTTTTTTCAGAAATTATCAAGTTAGACTCTTAATAAGAGTTATTGAGCAAAATTATTGAGTAGGCGCTAATGTTTCAATTGATTTTAAAAAAATTGTTTAATTCTTTTTGTGAAGGTGCCTTTCTAAATATTAAGTTAAGAAAAAAAAAAATGACATTAGTTGGAAAAGCAGTTTCAAAAAATGCTTAAAATACATACTTACCTATATAAATTTATTTTTGTAGGAAATATCATGTTTTTGACATTGATTTTAGTTGTCAAAAGTGGTTAATTTCAACACAAACGCCAAAATAAGCAGTGTGTTTCAATACAGTGTTAAAATGAGATCTCATTTCATCACTGAGTGTTGAAATGGGAATTAGAGTGCTTTCCAGTCAGTGTTAAAATGAGTTTATATTTTCAATTTTGAATATTTTGAATGAATCACAAAAAATCTTGTTTGAAACACGTCGGAAAATGAGGTGTTTCTGGCACTAAATGTGAAGATTAGACCACGAGCGAAGCTATTAAAATTCAGACGTTTGCACCAAATATTATTCATCAAAAACTCTAGTCAGGGCAAAGTTCACCATGATAAATAACTTACCAATAATACCTACTGTTTGAGAAAAGTTTTTGGATTAATTAATTAATTGAATTCGCTCTTCGAATAATACCTACTTAATTGCAATTGAAAAATCAAAAAAAAAAAAAAATCTTTTTTTTTATCTTCATGAGGCTTGTACAATAATTATTATTGTTGGAAAATTTATAAAAAAATCATGTGGTGACCTCATGAAGATAAAAGACAATGTATGTTATATCGAACCTACTCAAGAATTTCATTTAAATGAAATTTCGAGTCTGTTGATATAAACAAGTTTTAAAACGCAGATAATTTACTAAATTATCTATTAGTACTAAACAATTCACCTCTTTAATGTATTCGAATACACTTTATACATAATTAAAGACCTGCTTTTGTTACCTAGAGTTGATATTTCATTGTTTTTGAGTCAATATTTTTGCACTTCTGATGAAAATACCTACTGTGTTGTAGCGAAACATGTTTCATTATTTAACAAAGTTGTGAAAATAAAAGTACCTTTGGTAAAATAATTAAAAATAGACTTCCATCAATTGATGCCATTGATGGAAGTCACTTAAATTAATTAGGAGAGAGCCGCACACCTATTAATCGTATTCTTGTTGCCACAAGATCAGTTGTGGATACAATAATACTAAACTGCAAAGTCCATATTATAGTTTGCAGATAAGTATTCACCAACGAACAAATTTTAAATGGAATCTAAGTACCTATCATTTATTTTTAGAATCAGTTATAGGTTCTGCCTAAAACAAGAACAAAAATACCTCAAAATATACTCACCTTGAAACTTACCAGAGAGTTCTCAAAATCAGGGCAAATAGCACTGTTTAGGCAAATCTAATATTTCTCGAAAAAATTTACTCAGGTTGGTAGGCATATAAACTTCACGAAATAAACGATTTAAAAAAAAAAATTCAAATTTTCAACACAAGGTAGGGTCAACAGATACCTACATGAAAAAAAAAAGGATACTTTTTTCTTCCCCAACAGAAGATGATTGTCCATTCCTATATCAACGCTGCAACCAAACTCCCTGAATATACTCTTCACAACCACCTGATTATTTTTTTTCAAGTCATATTTTTCCTTTGGAGTGAAGAATGTCAAATTCAAATTCCCATGATCGTGATAGACAGTTTCTCCACTGCTGCTTCTTCTAGCAATGTTAACACCACCCTCTTTAAGACTTTGTAAATCAGAAAAGTTAATTTCTGACCAAGGATTTTGATTCCTGCCAATAACTATACACGGATCGTTTTTCCAAAGCATGAGTATATGGTGCTTCTCAAGGTTGAAATTTTTAAAAATCCACTCTTCCAAAGCCAAGTTGGTATAAATATCAGTAGATTGTGAAATAAGCACAGATTTTTTTAAATCATTCTCTACAGTTATGTTGGCCCTTGATAAAGATCGAGCATTAAGGCGAGTAAGTTTTGAAGTGATTCTATTGCAAAAATGTTGCATGAATGCCATTTTGTTCTGATTCTTTCGAAAAAAGTCTATATTATAAATAAAATAGGATAAAAACACAGATATTTGGCAATATTGTTTGGTAGGTGTTGTGCCCTAGAGTAGCAGCATAGGTAGCAGCTACTGAGCTACTGGAACACTGGTTTCAGAGCAGGTTTCCAACAGGCGTTTTTAGAAGCTGAGCTGAGAGAAATAAGAAAGTCGTGTACACTGGGAGTTTGATGCAACCACTTCCAATTTTGATGCAGGCTGTTAAGACGAACACGAAGTCCTAGACAGTCTTTGGTCAATCTCATTCCTTCCTCAGCGGCCAGTTTGAGGTGAAAAAATGTGCACTTACAATTTATCGCAAGTACCTTCAAGTATAAATGACACTGTCGGAGCACTTTGATTCTTAAAAAAAAACTAGTAAAAAACAAACAAAAGTAGGAACGCTGAACGTCAATGTTCCACCGTAAAGTATTCAACTGACTATACACAGAATAGATTATTCGTTTTATATTCTCAGCTGCCACTGGAAACCATTTATCTCCCAGGGAGGGTCACTGATATGCGCCTAATCATGAGACAAAGGCAAACAAGTTGTTTCAATGAATTACATGTTATCATTAGCTCCAGCAGTGGTCGAATTTTGATATTGTGATCAAATTATGTTTCTCAACACTTTTGCATTGGATGGGAATGAATTATGATTTTTCGCAGTTTGGCCTAAAAATTAAATTATCAACCAAAGGACCAAAGGTAGGAAAAACGCAGTCGCTTCTGTGGAGCTGGCTCCTTGGCTGACTCTGATCGGTTCGGGTCACTTTTTGACCGCTCCAGAACAATGGATATTGGGGCTCACAGGTAGCAAACACGAAAGAAAATATATAAGAAAGTGAAAAGCAAAGAGCGAGACAGAATAGACGAAAAAAACTTGAACAAAATATTTTTATTTGATAAAATCATGTAAATCTATACTATGTGAGATGAATTACCTAATTAATAGGTATACACCTATACTAGTACCTCTAGTATAGCTGTATATAAACAATGCAAAAATGTAGGTACTTCTATATAAGAAGAACGTTACCCAAGCAAGTAGGAACTTACAATTGAAAATCAAACAAAAATGGTCTTAAATTTACAAAAAATATAATCACAACAATAGGTTAAATTATGTTAATTAAGTAGGCGTATACAACGAAGCTTTCTGGAATCCCGGCCGGCCCGTCGGCGTATTGGCATTCTTTCCTATGGTACGACGCAACCCTGGAAAAATGTATGCCAAATTATGGGAGACAATGTCCCACGATTTGCCAAGAATAGGCTCGTCATTTTCTCCTGCGTTAGGACGCTAGGTGCTGAATATTGGAACGTCTGAATGCAGTAGATTTTGTCACGAAAAATTTCTGCAATATTAGGGGCAATATCTACTATAAAAATCAAACTTAAGTGTTGTTTACTGGGTTGTCGGTTGTACTCCAATTTGCCGTCCACGGTTGTGACAATCCAAGCCAAGATATGACTGCACTTTTGTTGCAATTATCAATTGTAAGATTTATTATGCATTACTTTGGTCAAGTCGCTATTCCGATTATTAAATGCAATCCTATTCTTTGGGTTTCTGATTCTTCTTCGACGATAATCATTAGTATATTTTATACTCTCTTCGATATAAAGAGTGAAATTGTTACTGATGATTGTTTGTTTTGATTGTTCGTGTTACATCCATATCCATATAGAAATTCTCAGATGATTTATTCCCCAATACCAATTTAGCCAAGATAATTCTATCCTCGGAGCGTAGTAAAGGCGAAGTGTTGAGCACCAGCAAAAAACGCTCTTGGATCGGATATAAGTGTTTTCAGAAACGACCACCTTGGCCAAATGGGCAATCGCATAATGCTATATCTACAAATTATGCCGTGTGAAAAAGATGTTTATCTTCGCCTGGAGAAATTCTGTAAGTGTTTGAGTCACGATGCAACATCGACACGTGGCCGCCAGAAAACAGGTGATATTGCCCGTCATGAAGATGAAAATTTCTGGTGACAAAATCTACTGCAATCAGACGTTTCAATATTTGGCACATGATGTCCTAACGTAGGAGATAATGACGAGCCTTTTAATGGCAAATCGATGGATTCTGCATAAATTTTTTTAGGGTTGCGTAGTACCTAAATAAATAATACCTGACCACTTCTTTTTATTTGTCTGCATACTTGCACATTAATTACAATGTAATTGTGTCGGTTTCAAAAAATTGAAACAAATCCAGGATCCAGCTTGACCGCCAGCCCCCCATTTTTGACTTTTTTTGCATTATTTTTTGCTCACTGATTAGTGGTCGTTTTGTGCTCAATTGTACTGGTGCAAGTGCGCACGGTGCTATTTTCCATACGCACCCAAAAAAATTAAAACAAATCCGGGGGCCAGCTTGACCGGCAGACCCCCATTTTTTTAGACTTTCTTCCAATATTTTTGGGTCATTCAATTGTGCGCGTTTTGTGCTCAATTGTGCCATTATAGTTGCAAACTGAACTGTTTTCCATTTAAGAAAAAATAAACAAATCCGGAGGACATCAGCATGACCGCCAGCCCCCCCCTCCCAATTTTTTTGACTTTAAGGTAAGAAATATTCTTAATAAAATGTCAATGTCATTAGCTATTTTAATTTTTTCTGTACGACCGGGACGCAAAGCACCTGTTTGTGCCCCAATGTGCGAGCGCAATTTGATACGTTGGTGTCAAAAACTGGACAAATATTGGCACCATTTTTTTTTGGAAAATCATTTATTTTTGTAACAATCTTCAAAGTACAATGTTTCAACAGCACCTTAAATCAGTATATAAAAAAAACAAGCTAATCTTAATATATTATTTTACAGTGGTTTTTATATTATTTCTCATTATTAATTTCCATAAAATACAAAAGCTTAACAAAACTAGGTTATATTGGGTATACAATAAATATCCAAAAGATAACAATAATATACATGATAACACACTAGTGAAAGAATTATGGCAAAAATAATAATAATAACAACAACTGACCTTTGAAAAATGGATACTTACTTCAATTATTAGAATATGTATATGTATTTAATTCGAAACTTCAAAAGTACAGTACGATAAACTATTCAGGGTGTCACGAGAGGTTTATTACAAACTTCTATGTCGTAATAATTGAGCTTTTTCCGCTTTCCAGATACAGGGTATTAAACTTTTTAAAAAAAGTAATTTTTTTTATTAATTCTTAGAAATGCGTGCGTTTTAGAAAAAAAGTTTTTTTGTCTTTTTTTTTTGTTGATTATTAAGCAACAAATAGGCTGGTAAAGTTTCAGGTAACATAACCTGTGCTGTGGCACGCCCCTGAAACTACTGGGTCCACTGTGCGCAGTCCAAAAGATACCCCATAAAGGTGTCAACAAAATATGAAAATTTCGTTATAGTACAAGAGCCAGTGAAAAAATTTCCGGCTGATTTCATTATGGCTGAAAAATTTAGGAAGTGTAGAATCAATCATGAACAATACGAAATCGCGTGCTCGTATCGGTTGCGTTTATTAATAAAAAAAAAATTTAACGAGGTTTTGTGAGAGCAAAAACCGACTCATCGCGTTTTGCATGAAAATTTGTGTGAACATAGAACAAACACCCCCAAGTATGATTTCGAATGCCTGTCTACCTAAATCAGTTGCCAAATGGCGCCTGTCAAATAAAAATCGATTGAAAGTTTTTTCAAAATTCGACTCATCGCGTTTCGAGTGAAAATTGAATATATCACAGTTAAAGCATTAGAAGAACATTTCTGACTGCCTGTCCGATCAAAGCCGTTGCTTTCTAATGCCTGCCTGGTCCCAAAGTTTGCAAAGTATAAAAATATGCCAGGTGGAATACTCAAATTCACAAAATAAAAACACATGGACCGTGCCGACCCAGAGATGCACAAAGAACAATGATGTCGTAGCAGTGTTGCCAGACTTTTTTGACGCCTTTCCTTCAACTGAGTGACAAAAACCCTCCAAAATCCTCCAAAAAAGTAGCAGGTGGCCGGCACAACAATAGTTATTATCCTATCAAGTGCAGGAAGTAATACTTTCCTGCACGCGACTGCTGTTGACCCGAACGACGCGGAGCGGAGTTCAAGCAAGCAGACAAGGGCAGGAAAAAGACTTTATGCCTGAGTTAGGATCAACATTTTTTTCTACGACTTTAGCAAAGTAGGCTACAAAGAAAATATGGGTTTTTCTATTAAACACATTATATTGTACATACACAAATATTTAAATTACCGACATTTATTCATTATTATACCTAGATAGGTACTGATAATGATTTTTCAACAAGTTGGTAATATTAGTGCTGCTGGAATTCTGGGATGAGTGTTCGACGCCATTGCCAAGTCGGTTACAGGTGAAGTCACTGGAGACAAGAGATCAGATCACCAGATCTGGTACTGGGTGTTTGTGTATAACTGGAACACTCAGTTACTTTGTTATTATTGAAAACAGAGGGCATGTTCAAGTTGGGAAATTTCTTGATAAATTGCAGTCTTAACACGTTGACTGCCACCATGGCAAGCCCCAATCAGGTACCCTTGTGCCAATTTTTCCTATAAGTATAGTAATTTCAACGTATTCTTAGTCGTAGATAACAGAAATATAAGTAGAATCAGGTTTTTACACACAGAACGTCTCACTGTGCCACGCTTAATTTATTTCTATAGAGAAAATAGGCAACCGTGAGCCCTCTGCTGTACCTCGCCGCATAAAACGGAAGAAAAAAATGAGGCACAAAATGGGAACCTCAACGCACAGACATGAGATTCTTGTGAGGCACTGAACGCGTACCCGTACCACATGGCAGTAAACGTGTTAAGTGCTACAACGATATTTTTTTGGTCTCCGTAGGTATACAGAAAGGGTGCGTTAAAAAACTATTTTTTTCGATGGAACATCCTGTCAATTTTTGTTATCCAAATAGTGTTTGAAATTTTTGTGAAGCTAATTTTTGGGAATTCAAAAACATACAGGGCAACCCATTAAAAAAAATGACCTTTTTGACGCCCCCGCTATAATTATGGCGCCAAAAAAACATCGTTGTAGCGATTAAAATCGTTGCAATTAACCAAGAAATTTTCCAATTTAAACATGCCCTCTATTTTCAATAATAAAAAAGTTACTGAGTGTTCCAGCTATAAAAAAACACCCTGTACCATTGGCGAATGACTGCTTGAAAATGGAGATTTTGTGTCAATTGTCAGAATTTTGTTACACATATTTTTCTTTCAAAAGTTACTTTTCCGCTTTCCAAATTCATGTTAGGTATGGGTAGTGTTTTTTTGTTTTGGTAAAATATTTTGTGGTGCCGGCCAACCGCCACTGTTTTGAAGGATTTTTAAGGGTTTTTGTCACTCAGTTGACGTCAAAAAAGTCTGGAACATTGCAACAAAATCCTTATTATTTGTGCATCTCTGGGTTGGCACGGTCCATGTGTTTTTATTTTGTGAATTTGAGTATTCCACCTGGC